CTTATTATTATTTTTTTTTTTTAATAAATCGTAATAAATAATAAAAAATAAATAAAAAATAAAATTATCACATTATTGTTACGAATCCTTCAATTTATTAAAATAAATAATAATACAATTTTGTATTCGCCTAAAGAAATTTCATCAATCTCGTAATTAACCAACTCATTTATTCGAAGAAAGACAATTAGAATTAAGTTGGAGAAATGAAATTTTTTCGACGATTATTTGTTCTTTTTTACGAAGAGGATTCATCGTACTCTTAATATCTTTGAATCGTTCCCATAAAATACATCAAAGAACACTTTGAGCATTAATAGATTGAAAAATTAATTAATAATTAATAAAAAAAATTAAATTAATTAAATTTCAAATAAAATTACTTTAAATAATAACTTTAATTAATCAATAATTAATCAAAATAATCGAATAATACAAAGAGCAATAATATAATTTTATTTTTAATTACTTATTATTAACATCATTTCAAAGTCAAAATAGAAAACCAAAGATCTTGAAGAATAACGAATTTCAATTTCTTTGAAACAATTTTAAAAATCCACGAACAGAGAACACGTGTGAAAGGATTAAAAGAAAAAATTATTTTGTTTTTCACTTGCCGTTTCTTTTTGAAAAAGGAAAATCAGTATGATTAATCACTATTTTGTATTACTGACACTTTTCAATTCGTACATGAGATATGAAAAACGAGACATATGAAAAAAAAAAGAATCATCCAATTTATTATCGTTTATAAAATTGTTTTACACTGTTTTTGCTGTTTCATAAACTTCATTTCACAAAATAATAAAAATAAAATAAAAATGTTTCTTTGTGAGAAAGTTTTTTTTATTTCGTAAATATAAAGTATAAATATCTATAATATTTATTATTACAAGAAATCATCCATAATTACACGAATATTTTTTAATTCTATCATGGTAAAATTTCGCCATGAATTTTCTTTAAATAAAAATCGTGTAGTTTGTCACTTATTCTTCCATGGCCTCAAGCTAACTACGAGTTACTTTCGTAGCAAGCTCATCAAACTTTTACCACGATCTCTTCTCTTCTCGCCAGAGAAATGTGTCGTCGCCTGTGGAATTTTCAAAACTTTCTTGTACTTCCTCGACGAAACATGAAAGTTTCAACTTCTCGTGAAAATTTTTTCAAGTATTTTTTTATCTATACTGAAATGAAAAAGCACACATATTAATTTTCTTTCGTTCATGTTATACAATTTTTCAATTTTATAATTTTATCAGTTTAAACAATAATTTTACTTAATTTATCTTCTAAAGACAGTTATTGAAAAATTGAATCTTATTAAAATAAAATATTAAACGTGAAACAATTTTGAGTATTAATTTCTTATCGATATTTTATTATTTTGTTTGACATTATAATACAATTTTTTATTATTTCATCCTCTTGAAAGAAATATTCTGTATAATAATTCTATAAATTTTTTTGTAGATGAATTAGAATTCAGTGACACGCATAATTTATCAATCAGTATCATGCACGATTCGATAAATCGATTTACGAAAGTAAACTATAGCGTATACTAAAATTCATGTTATGAGAAATTGTGCTTGTGCTTCCTATCAAAATGATCGATAATGTTTTCTTGCAAAATATCAGTTTACAATTTTGCAATATTATAAAATCATGATCGATGAATATCCGTTATTTTAATATGTTAAACAAATTTTTAACTTTTCATAAAAATCTTTTATTAAAAATTTTTACTTTCAATCTTAAAATAAAATAAATAAAAAATCTTATAATAATAGTTTGATATGAATATAGAAATATTATATAATTAATTTATAATTTTATATTGAGAAAATGATAAAAATTATTGTGAAAAACAAATGCAAACTTAAAAAAAAAAAAAAAAGATAAACTGAAAGAAAGAAAAAGAACGATTTGTGAATGTATGATAATTTTATAAAATTTAAAAATGAATACGATTTCATAGAAATATAGAAATTTATAATATAATAATTTATAAATAAATATTGAATAATAACATAAATATTTTCTATGAAAATTTTATTATTTAATCAAGAATTAAAGAGAGGATCATAAGCGTTCTGTATAATAATTGCAAACAGGAGTAAGGAAGCATTATGACGTTGTCCGAACAAAAAAGTAGTAATAATCTATTTCACATTTAACAAAGAAGACGTCACGAACACAGAAGACAAAATTCTGCTAAAATAACTCTCAGATTCACAAACAAAGATGACTATAATTTTCAGCTTAAACGTTGCACACCACTAATAATCCCCTTAACAACGGTCAACTAGGACAGAAAACACGAATGCTTTCATAGTTGGGTGTGAAATATGCATCATTAAGGAGGGAAACATTGAAACACAACTCGGAGAAAAGAAATACATCATACCCGTATTTTCATCATTTTTCTAATTTTCTTTGAACGTGTTAACTCTTATTAAAAAAAGAATTATTTTATATAGGATTTGATATATTTTTTCTTGTTAATTAAATTTTTAATCAAGAATTCCTTTGTTGAATTAAAAATAATAAAAGTGAATCGAATATTTTTGGATTAACTGAATATGAACGTAAAGGATAAAATTAAAAAAGAAATATTTCTACAATATATAATGGTTCACAAATGTAAAATTTTACAATAATAGACTTCGTACGAGAATTATTTCTACATCGATCATAAAAATTCAACGAATATAATCATGGATTAAAGTGATGGATATGATATTCTATTAATAATATATCGATAATATTATAAATATAATACAAATATTTTTTTATTGTGCGATTTAATTTTTATTCTAGATGAAGCGATTAAAAATCTCCATCACGTTTTATCTCCATCTAGTAAAATTAAGTGAACGAGTAATTTTTGTACAAACCTTTCTATTTATTTTAATCTTTAAAATCAATCCTTCAAAATATTTTATGAATATGTGAATATCTTCTGTATATATAACTTATTTTAAAAAAAAAATAAACTTATATTATATTAATCTGATTTTCCAGTTCCAGTTTAAAATTAATAAAAAGAAAAAAAAATAATTTCGAATCAATTTTAATATCTTTTAAACATTCATAGAAATTCATTTTCTTAAATCTTTAAAAATATCAGTATTAACGTGTTCCAATATATCCCAGCACGTTTCAAAAATTTTTTTATCATCCCACGCAAAGTCTTTGAAATTCGTTACAAGGTTACATTAATGAAGAGAACGGATGGATCTCCGCGTTAAATAACTACAACCCTCGGAATACGAAAGAAGTTTGATGTAATTTCTACATAAAGTTGATCCGATATGACCGACAATAGTCTTTCTCTTTTCGATTAGCCTCATCATCTTTACTTCGAGTGGAATAAGGGTCACGAATGCATAATCGATGCATCTCCTCACTTGTAACGCTGACCTTGAAAAACACAATATTACTGAACAATCTATAGATCTAGTCTGATTATAAATTTTAATAAAATTTGTTTGTCTTTATTAATATAGTTAATTAATATAGTTAAAATTTTTACATGAAATTTACAATAAAATTTATGTCGCAATTTAGTATTATTAAAATAAAATTCTTGAAATAAATATTTTTTATATATTTGATTATTAAAATATTAAATTCCAACAATTCTATAAAATTTATATAAAAAAATTTTATAAAATATTTTGCTATTTAATATAAGAATAAAGATGTATTTTATTTGAAAATTAAAATAATTTATTAAACATTGAATTTAAAATGCTATATATATTTAAAAAAATGAAAGTATTTTCAATGGGTATACATTATAATCCGCGCAAAAGAAAATATAGAGAGAGACAAGGAGAGCTAATAATAAGATAAAGACAGAGATAGAGTAAAAATATTGAAATCAGCGCCATCTTCAGAGTGCCGCAAATGAAACTCACAAAGAAAGGACGGAAAATGATAAGACAAAGATAGAGATAGATCAAGAATTGGTTACTGGCGCCATCTCTGGTTGCTTTTAGAAAGGTAATTCATTGATGGGATACCGATAGTGCAGGAGAGATGGCGCCAGCGATAAATAAGAACTGATTACCAGCGTGATCTTTGGATGTTTCTAGAAAGATGGTTATTTGAAGAGATATCGATAGTGCACGAGAGATGGCGCTAACGGTCAATTCTTAATCTATCTCTATCTTTGTCTTATTATTTTCCGTCCTTTCTTTGTGAGTTTCATTTGCGACACTCTGAAGATGGCGTTGATTCCACAATTTTTACTTTATCTCTATCCTTTTCCCACTATTTAATTTTTTTATCTATACTTTTTCTTAAAGTCATTTCATAGCAGTAAATCTACTTTTAAATTATCGCGAATATTCTATAACACTTTCTTTGATATGATATATCGTTAGTCACATTATATTCACATACTTCAGAAATAATATAATGTAACCTAAAAAAAGTTTAGATTCAAAATTTTTATGTATATGTTCATATATAAAGGAAGAAAAATTTATCTGGTATATGTATCAGGATTAAATAATTTATAATTTTTTTTTTATTATAATAATGAAATATAGTATAACAAAGGAAATAAATATAGAAATAATAATTTAAAACATTTCTTAGAAACGAAGAAATTTTAATTAATGAGTAAAACATATAAATATTTATATTCCTAAAAGAAAAAATATTTTATTTTTAATACTTTATTTTCAATCTATATATATATATATATATACATATATAAATGTTATTAATATGTTTGCATACAATGAAAATGATGATACAAAAGATGTAAACAATATAGTTAATATTAATATACAACACTTGTTCTAATCATATTACCTACTAAAGTAGTATCTTATACACAGTTATCAACAAATCTCATTGGTGGAACAGTGATCTTATTTACAAAATGAATGTTGTCAACTACGTCATCAGTTCTTTTATAAAAGCTGAATCAAAGGTATTTAGATTAGTGTGTATTTAGTGTTCGAGATAATTTAGTACTTGTGTAAATACTTTGTATCATAAAGTACAACAAAGTAAAATCGAAAACGAAAAAAAATATTAATTATTATCTTAATTATTATCTTAACAATTATCTTTAAATGATCTATAAAATATAGTGAAAATCAATTAAAAACTAAAACTATTACAGACACTTTAAAAAATTGTCACTAATTTTTCATAATTTAATTAATTTATCTCGCAATATTTTCATATTGATATAAAAAGTGCAAAAAATAAAATAAAATAAATAATGACGCGAAATACAAGTATTAAATGTCAAAGATTTATCTTTTTATCGAGGTAAACGATAATATAATAAAATATTCTATTATATCTATTATTATCCCAATTTTGTATGTCATTCTTTGATAAAAAATTGTAATTTTTTTATATCTGTTTAAAAAGTTAAACGTATTATATTAATTTTCATTGAATTCTTTAATTTTCAATGAAATTTTATAAAAAACTAACGTTAAAATACTAAATAATGTATTTTCTTATAATCTTTGTTTTTTATAATTGTTCTCTTTTTATAATTATCTCTAAATTAATTTCTAATTAATTAATTAGATATTTGACATATATATAAAAGCATATGTTAAATATAACATTATGAACATATACGTATATATAGATTGAGCTTACGTTTGAATTAATAATAGTTACATTTCGAATAAACTTTGTTCGGGAATAGTCGATGCAAAATTAAGCAAATATTAACAAACATTTAATATGATGTATAATATACATATTTAATTAATCTTAATTTCATTAATTATTTTTCTTATATTTATAGAATCATATTTAATATAAGAGTGTTTGGATAGAAATTTATTTATTATAATTATGCTTATAATATTTTAAATATTGTTATAGATTATTTATATTTTTATAAGATAAAATAAAATATTTGTATAAGATAAATGCAAAATTTTTTTAAAATTTAAATTTAATGATTTCTTATTTCAATAGAAGTAAAAAGTATGGAATAAAAGTGTACTTTATATTTTTAGACAATTGACAGATAGTGCTGCGGATAAAGGTTATAGTGGAAGTGTTAATAGAAATAAATTGTTAAATCGTATAAAAAATGCTTCTTTATGGAAAATGAAAATGTCTATGCAAAATCATACAAAACTTTTAATGCAATTGAAAAATTTCTTATATAAATCTGGTTATGACAAAAGTCTACAAATTATTTTATCTAAAAATTGGTTAGATTTTTTACAAAAAGTAACATATTCGCAAATAAATACTTTGAAAAAATTGTCACCAATTGAATTTTCAAAAAACATAAATGATATGAAAATATCAGATGTCGAAAAATGTAATAATAGTGAAAAAGAAAAAAAAAATGTAATATTAGAAACTTCAGAAGAAAAGACATCAATTACCAATACTAGTGAATGTAAAAAAGTAAGTCAAATAATTTAAATAATATAAAAAATGTAGATTCAAATAATTTTTTACAAAATAATTTTCTTATTTATATTTAATAACTTTTATAGCAAACTTATGAAGATACCACAAGTGAGAATAAATTTCAAGCTAAAATAGGATCTCAATCTCTTTCTCAATTTCTTAATGCATTAATATTTAATTCTGCTCAAAATAAAACAGCTGGATTAGTTGTATCACCAAAATGGAAGATAAATCTTCATAAAAATATACCAAAACATAGTATTGCATCTAGAACACGTCATGTTTTGAATGCTATTGCAACTGCTGAATCAAATGCTTCATGTTTGAGGAGGATTGAAGATTTATTATTACATATTGATCAATATTCAGAAGCTAGGCATTATGCTATTAAGGAAGGAGCAATTAAAATATTGCTTAAAACTCGACAAAGAATTAAGGATGAACAAATAAGAGGTATAAAATAATTTAAAAATATTTTTAATAAGAGAGAGAGAAAGAGAGAGAGAGAGAGAGAGAGAGAGAGAGAGAGAGAGAAAATATATAAATAACATTTTTAACATTTTAAATGTTTTGAAATTTCAGCACCTATAAGAGAAGCATTAACAGTATTAGGTTATACTGATCCATTGCCTGGCAGAGGTATTAGAATTCTTTCTATTGATGGTGGAGGTATGCGTGGAGTATTAGTTATAGAAATGTTAAAAAAACTTGAGAAATTAACAGGCAAAAAAACTTATGAAATGTTTGATTATATATGTGGTGTAAGTACAGGAGCTATTCTTGCTGCTGTTTTAGGTATGTATATGTATATATAATAATATTATATATACAATGTATAATATTTGTATAATATAATATTTAAAAGTTAATTATATAAGTAATTTAATTTACTATAATTTACTATAGTGAAATTATGAATCTTAACATTTTAATAATAACATTATTTATAGGTGGACATAAACGAAAATCATTATATGAAATATCAGAATTGTACAAAGAACTAAGTACCAAAGTATTTACTCAAAGTGCTATAAAAGGTACAAGCAACTTGGTATGGAGCCATGGATATTATGATACAGCTCTTTGGGAAAAATTATTGAAAGAACATTTAGGAGAAAAAATTCTTATAAAAACTGCTCGCGATTCTACTTCTCCAAAAGTATTTATTATTTTCTATTTATAAGTAAAATATGATGATTGAGATGAAAATATTAAAAATTCATATTTGTTAACTTTAATGCAAAAATTTTTTAGTTTTCAGCTATATCTGCTATAGTAAATCATGAGCGCGTAATGGCTTACGTATTTCGAAATTACACTTTACCTCATAGAGTCGAAAGTTTATATATAGGATCTCATAAACATAAATTATGGGAAGCTATTAGAGCATCTGCTGCAGCACCTAGTTATTTTGAAGAATTTAAATGTGGTGAATATCTTCATCAAGATGGAGGTATAGATATTATAATATTATATAATATTGATATTGATATTAAAAAAATTTATTAAATAATTTATTAAATAATTTATTTAAATAATATTTTAATTTTATAGGTATTTTGGTAAATAATCCCTGTGCAGTTGCATTACATGAAGCTAAACAATTATGGCCAAATAGTCCAATTCAATGCGTGATTTCATTTGGAACTGGAAGAACGCCGAGTCAAATTTGTGGAAATAGCAAGAAATCTGCGGAAATTGCGATTTCAAGTTGGAAAGAAAAATTTTATAAAATTTTAGATAGTGCAACTGATACAGAAGGTATTAGGATTATTTTTTGAAATATTTATTTCGTTGCATCATTTTGAATGTACTTAAATATTAATAATGATGCATTGTGCAGCTGTACATACGATGTTGAACGACCTCTTACCAGAATATGTTTATTTTCGTTTTAATCCATATTTGACGGAGATGTTATCAATGGTAGAAATACGTCCTGAGAAGATCAGTCAATTAGAACAGGATGCAAAAATGTATATTCGCAGAAATGAAGAAAAATTTCAGAAAGCTGCTGAAGTTTTACTACAAAAAAGAAGACTTCAACAAAAAATTATGGATTGGATTACATTACAAAGAAAAATGTCAAACTTTTAAATTATCATATCTCACAAATTAATACACATTCCACAATATATAAAACTATAGAAATAGATATTATTAAACATTTTATATTAATCAGGTGTACTTACATATACAGTATATGATCAAAATAATATGAATGAACAAGAAACAATGAAGACAATAGACAATTCTTCGTGCAAATATAAATTAAAAATATAGAATTTTTATCTAAAATTTAACAAATTTTAAAAATCCATGATATATGCAAAGTATGTATAATATTATAATTAAGACACGAAAGTTTATTTTATAATAATACTTTATTGTATTATAATTGTGTTTCTATTGACATTCTAAAAACTAAGAGTTTTTAAGATAAAAAAAAAACTTTATTCTAAACTTAAGTAACTTTTACTTAAGTAATGCTTATTTATAGCTTCCCGATTTGGGTTAGCCATATATTTTTATATTTTGTTGTCGAAAAAACAATCTTGTAGTTAAATTATGTAAAATATTCTATTTATTCTTTAATGATATTGATATAATGAATAAACATTATATACAATATTATATACAAATACATATGTTAATTTTTGCTAAAAAATAATTTATTTCGCATAAATGTAATTTCAAAGTTCATCAATGAATGTGCACTTTTTTTAATTTAGGACTATATATATGCATAAAATAATATATGTATTAGTAAACATAGCTTAAAATGAATGTGCTAAATAAGAATTTAGTAAGATTATTTAATTTAATATTTATTTTATTTAATAGCATACAAAAACATTATATTTTTTTCTTTAATTAACTTTCATAAATGATTATATTGCTTTAATAGTATAGTAGCAAAGTAACATGAATTGCAAATATCCAAAAAACAAAGCTTTGTATCAAATAATTTATAATTTGTATAATTAACAAGCGTGTAAATATTCAAATAATTTCTACCTCATATATAATTAATTCTAATACTAGTCATATTATATGGATGATAATATATTGATGTGATAAAATCTTTAAATAAAATGAAAATTTATATATTATGTTATATGTATAAAATATTTCATGTAACAATAGTTAATTATTGTTTTATATTATTCTACGAAACATTATACAATTTTGAAAATTTTAGTTAAATTATTATCAATTTCATTTAAAAAATGTTATATTATAAAAATACCAAAACAATAAATTACAAATATTTAATTAAACATATTCAGTGTTATTGAATTTTTAATTTGCCATTTGTTAAAAATATATATACAAAAAAAATGTAGAATAGATATAACATATAATTTTTTTCATTTCATAAAAATTCAAGAATCGTGGAATAAAAATAGAATTAGCCATCTTCAGAGTGCTAGATGAAACATGTATAGACAAGGAGAGCAAATACCAAGAGAAGGACAGAGATAGGATAAAAATATTAAAATCAGCGCCATCTTCAGAGTGCCGTAAATGAAACTCACAAAGAAAGGATAGAAAATAATAAGACAAAAATAGAGATAGATTAAGAATTGACCGTTAGCGCCATCTCTCATACACTATCGATATCTCTTCAAATAACCATTTTTCTAGAAATATCCAAAGATCACGTTGGTAATCAGTTCTTATTTATCGCTAGCGCCATTTCTTGCACTATCGGTATCCCATCGATGAATCACTTTTCTAGAAGCATCCAGAGATGGCGCTAGCAGCCAATTCTTAATCTATCTCTATCTTTGTCTTATCATTTTCCGTCCTTTCTTTGTGAGTTTCATTTGCGGCACTCTGAAGATGGCGCTGATTTCAATATTTTTATCCTATCTCTATCTTTGTCTTATTATTTTACTTTCCTTGTCTATATATGTTTCATTTACAGTTCTGAAGATGGCGCTAATTTCTCAATTTTTATTCTAATAATCAGATTTTTTTCAGAAATCCTAGTTTATTGTATATAATTCATTTGTGATAGTGTATATATTTTGATTATTTTATTTTATTGATTTATAATGGAATCTCTTCAAGAAATATTGCAATATTTAAATCCAAATACGCGATTAGATCTAAAAGCTACCGCTTTAGAACATGTTCTCAGTGAGTATTTATTATTAAAAAATATTTTATTATTTCAGTTTTTATTTTAATCTCTTAATTTTATTAATTTCTATCATGATAATTGTTACATATTACAGGTATAACAGGCACTATTGAAGGACGAGAATTGTTATTAAAACTTCCAGATTTATTAGTACAATTAATTGTCTTGACTCAAGATTTTTCTACTGCAATTTCAAAAGATGCAACTCTAGCTTTAATAAATATAACTGCAGATGAACTAGGAACAAATGCATTTTTATTAATTTCAGAAACTCAACCAAAGAATGAAAAATATAATTACAATTTAATTCATGTTTGTATTAGGTATATCATTAACTAAATCAAATAATATTTTTTTTATTTTTATAAATATTTTTGTTAATTTTTTTTATAGATTTATAATGGACAAAGAAAGTATTTTAGCAGATCCATGTTGTATGATTCTTTCCAATATGACTAGACCATTGCATTTATTGGATAGAATTATAACACTTTTTGAAAATAGTGATTATACTTGGGACAGTATTGTGACAGCATTTACTGCTAAACAATATAATAATGTTGGTGCCAAACTTCATTATTTAGGACCTGTTTTTAGCAACCTCAGTCAATCTCCACGTGTAAGAAGGTAAGTTATCAATTAATCTTTCTATTTTTATTTAATTATCAATTTTATTTATCTTAATTTTATTTTATTTTACAATATAGGTATTTAATGGACAAAGATCGTAATGTCATTCAAAGACTACTTCCTTTCACAGAATATGCAGATAGTATAGTAAGACGGGGTGGAATTGTTGGCACCTTGAAAAACTGTTGTTTTGATGTAGAAAATCATGAATGGTTGTTAAGTCCTGAAGTAGATATTTTATCGTATCTTTTATTACCATTGGCTGGACCAGAAGAATTTGATGATGATGATAATGATAAATTGCCAGTTAGTCTGCAATACTTATCAGAAACAAAGCAGAGAGAGCCAGATTTGGATATTAGGTATTAAAAATTTTTTTTTTTTTTTTTTTTTTTTTTAGAAATTTTTATTTTTTAATTGTTTTAGGATTATGCTACTAGAAGCTTTAGCTCAACTATGTGCAACAAAAAGGGGCCGAGAAATATTGAGAGCGCAAAATACGTACATCATACTCAGAGAGTATCATAAATGGGAGCAAAATAAAAATGCATTGTTAAGTTGTGAAAATGTTGTAGATATTTTGATTAGGTACCGAGATCTTAATTCTTTCTTTCAAATTTTTTTTGTTTCATATATAATAATAAATATTACGTAAATTTTAGAACCGAAGAAGAAATAGGTTTGGATAATCTAAAAAATATAGAGATTCCAGTAGAATACTCGGAGAAATTTTATAAAATGGATCAAGACTTTATTAATAGTACATGATGATATTGGTACAATAATACGAATTATTTCATATACATTGCACAAAATGTACATATTATAAATATAAAATAACAATTTATCTCGTAAAAAACAAGATTGCGCGTGATATTGCACTATTCCCTTGTGTCAATTGTTTTTTAGTTAAATTAAATTTTTAGTTAAATTATCAGATCTTATATAACTATTGGACGAATTAAGAAATTTGAACAAACAATCGATCACATATTTAAATAATCACAAATTATAAATAAAGATAGACTAAATTTTAATAAAATTAATTTTTTTTATATACATATTTCAAACAATTATAAAAATGAAGAAAAACAGATAATAGATACTCGTAAAATATTTGCATGTTATTAAAATAATATTTGTATAATATTTACTTTTTTCTTTTGCATTTTATTTTATTACATTTCTTTTTAATGCAAATAGTAATATGATTTTAATTTACTCGACTCAAAATAATTCTTGCTGAGATCAAGTCTCGCAAAAATGAGAATATGATACCATTTTACTGATATATTGAAGACCGATATATTTCAGATGTATGGTATATTTCTCCGAATTAAATGTAAATCACTAGTATTGTTATTAATTAATAACTATATATATATATATGTATATATCGATATATTGGAGCATTTATCATCATCGATTTTTTCGAATTAAATTGTGTAAAAACTTAATACACGTTTCAAATGGTTTCAAATATTTTTCTAATAAAACAAATATTCATAATGATAAAAATAGAACATATAATAGTATCACTAGCATTTACATTTTCGTAATATATAATTTAATATCTTTTATTTATTTCTTTCTAAATATTTCCATTTAAGTCAAGTATGTAATACAATATTTACACCTTTTTGCTAACTGGTGTTTCTTTCTTAATAAAAATAAAAAAATAACTTATATATGCATATATATAATGTATAATTATACATATAGATAAAAAATTCTTTTCATAAATTCATTTTTATATACTTTTTTAATCTCTTTGGCATCTTCCTATTTAAAATTACATCATTGCCATTTATTAATTATCAATTTATTAATTTTCGATTTCTCCATAACTTAAAAAAATATTTTATATCCTTAAAACATTTCGATTAGATCAAATAGGAAGAATTAACATTAAGAATCATCATGGTAAATATCCTAGTCCAGCCTCGAGACTAATGGAACTCTTAATGCTGGAGGCATTACTAGCTCGTCTACTGATCCTATTCGAATCAGCCCCGAAGACTGCCGCGATTTCCGCGCTTTTCTTGATGGAAAGGGCTTCGTGATGCGCTCCAGATCGACTGGAAGAATGGGAATGACATTTCTTATTCCTGTCTGCGCCGCCAACGTACACCAAACGACCCTGCGTGTCTCTGGCACTAACGACCAACACTTTTTCACTGTCCGACGATTGTTGAGATTTCCGATCTGGATTGAAAAGATCGTAATCCAGGGCGAGATTGTTCGAACTGCCATAGCTTGATGACGACTGCTTCTAAAAAATATACAATGTAATTTTACAGTTTAATTATTTTATCTAATTTCAATTATTCGATTTCATTTTCTTTTTCAGGTATCAAAATACCCAAATGAATTCTTTGTATTTGAAATCTTAAATACTCGAAATTCTAAGAGTTTAAAGTAGATAATTTTTCAAATTCTTAAGATTTTTTCTTCGAAATTCCAAGCATCTGAATTATTATGTCTGAAATTTGAATTTTAACGAATCTAATATCTTTTCTTCAAACAAATAAAAATCTAACTTAATTTCTCCATATAAAAATTTAATTACATCAACAAATTTAATTTTTATAGAATTTGACATACCTTGAGTACATCCAAACCTTGAGAAGGCGTTCGACCTCTCCCTGTCTTCGTCGCTCGTGCTCTGTCTGGACTTCCGGCTCGGCTTAAGGTACTTTCATAGGGCACGATGCCCCTTTGCCTCAGTTGTTCCAGTATCGTCGGACGAATCGATTGTCGGGCGCAGTAACACTTATTGCTCTCGGAGCAGCTGTCGGTGTCACACGAGCACACCACCGTGTTTGGAGGCACATGAGGCTGTTCCGGAATTCTTCTGGACAACGAGCAATAACATTTGTCCGCCGATACGCAGGTGCAAGACTCAGAATCGTAACTGCACTCGCTGCAACTCACGTAACCACTGCTGCTCCTATTCGCGGCAACGCCTGCGCTTCTGTTTAATCTTCTACCTGAAGAATTTCAACGCTTTGATAAATCTTTTGTGATATTTTTTTGAATCTATGTTAAATCGTAATTGATTTTCAAACTCTATATAAGTTTTTCATTCGAATTTTCTTTCATAAAATTCAAAATTTTTAAATATCTACATTTTTTTCATATTATCCTATAAAATATAGGTGTTCCAAATAATTTTCAGTGATTTAATAATTGTCACTTCGTTTAGTTAATAAATAATTAAATTAGAACTGAGATTTATACAATAAGACAGAATAGAATATTTGTGTGTTTAGTATCTTTTAATACGGATAAAATAAATTTTAAAAAATGTAAATGCAAGTAAATTTAAGCATTTGAAGCGTACAATTGTTTCTCAAAATGACAAAAATTTTATATTCATAAAATATGAATAAATATGATTATACGATAAAAGTTTTAAAGATAAAGTGACAATTATTCGAACATTTATTTTTCTAAAGAAATAAGAAATTAAATATTTATTTACATGTATCACTGTCCTCCGAAGTAGTGTGGCAAGCATTTTTACTCGTCCTCCAAGAAGACCTTCTCTTCGCCAGCCTGCTAGCCAATACGCGGTTTCTGTGATTGTTTCTGACATCGCAGGAAGAACTGCTACCGAAACTATCGTTCAATCTTTTTGCAGGGAATATGACGGAAGTGAATTCTGTCGGTCCACCTTTCAGCCTCGACACCGACCTCTTGATAGCCCTGCCAAGTAAGCAGGTTCGTCGATTCGATCGTCTTCGTTGCGGTCTTCGACGTCTTCTCATTATGCTCGCTGACCTCTGATACAACTCATCCTGTGTCAACGTCGCCGCCAATTTCAACAAGAACTCTTTATACAATGGTTTCAAATCGTTGAAGGACATCCCTTCGGGATCTAAATGAAAAAGACAATATAAAAATATTACATATATATTGTGGGTTATTTTCAATTTTATGGAACGATAATTACCGATAATAGCTGCCAAGATGTCGTCAACACTGGTCAGGCCTTCCTGGTTTCTAAACTCGTCGAACAACTCTGTGAATCCCAGAGGAGTGCCACCTTTGATGCTATTAGGCCTTCTAGCGCTTCCAGGATTCAAAAAGCTTCCTCTTCTAGGTAACTCGACCCTGGTCATCAAATCTCCTCGATCCACGTCGATATCGCTTTGAGATCTCTTCAATTTGCCTTCTTGAAGATTCTTGGTCGCGTCTTCGGATCTGCTAACGGGTGGCTCGCTACCAGCTCTGCTCCTCTTCCTGATCCTCGGCTGATTATACTCGGATAAATCCAAATTCGACGTGGAGTCGCTCAACTGTTTCTTCAGAGGCTTGTCCATAGTGACCACTCTGCTCACTCGTCTTCCGGATGTACATTTCTCCTGGTCCCTCGATCTTCTTCGTTCCACGGGCACGGAATCATCGAAATTTTCCTGATTCAATTGGTAAAAGTCACTTTTGCGAGATCTGCCGAAGAAAATGTCCTCCTGGGAACTTCTTATCTTCCCTTTCTCGAGTTTGTCGGTTCTACTACTCTGAACATCCTCTTGAGCGAGACTGTATATCTTGTCAACGTCTTTGAAATGATCTTCATAGAGTCTCTCCTTGCTACCTCTTTTATTCGCTCGCTCGTACAGCGAGTTTTCTTCGCTCTTGCAAGTCGGTTTGTCCTTGATCCTGTCGTGGATCAAAGCGTTTGATTTAGGAGATTTATTTGAAGAATACGTCTCTTGACTCTTGGAGATATCTTTCGAAGGGATCAGTTCGTAGGAATCACGCGTCTTTTCGTACATCTTGTCCTTGATGCTTTCTGATTCCTTATCGGGGCTCTGTTTCTTAAGACTCTCGTTTTTCCCTGCTTTTCCACTCACAGGACATGTCTCGTATCTATTGGAAACAGTCTCGTACAATCCATTAGCTCCGATATCGTAAATTTTACTCGAGGATTTATTAAAATTGTCCATTTCAATTTTTTCCGATATTATTAAGTCCGATTTAGTTCCAAATATCTTGTTCTTCGAGTTTTGCCATTCCTCCTTTTCAGATACCCTCGAATCGAAGTTTTTCTGGATAGAATTGAAATTCTGGACGAGCGGAATCATTTTTTCCTTCGGAGTCTCTCTTCTCCTTCCTCGTGCCTCCAAAATATCTTCTGCTTTCACGTCTGAATTCTTTTTCTTCCTTCTCGGTGCTTTTTGTAATTCCGATGGTTTCGAGGTTTCATCCTCCGTTACCGAACTGGACACCGAGATCTTCTTCGTTCGTGGAGGTCTTACAGGATGCGAAGTAGTCGGTTTAACAGATTCTGCTTGCAAAATGTTCGTTCTGATGCCGAGTCTGCTACTTAGGCTGGGTTTTCTATCACTGGAGGCTATCGAAGCTAGGCTCACGCAACCAACGCCATTCGTGTGCCTTGGTCGACGTCGATTCGCATCGAGATCAGCCAGAAGAGCTCTGTAGAGGGTCGCTGCTGCGGCCACCGCGTCGTCTTCCGTTTTACAGGCGAACGCGTGACACTCTAATAATCTCGTTGCACCTGGTCGTCGCATTACTACAGCGAATATGGGTGGATAATTTTCCGCTGTCGTTTTCAGTCCACGCATTGTTCTGGAAAGGATCGACTTCGTCAACAATTTTTTTTTCTCGAAGAAAATATTTTTTGTGTTTTGGAATTAATTAGCCATTTGGTTACTGATTAAAATTCATTATTGATCGATATTGATCGAACAAGTCAGCGATTACTTATCGATCCATTAATCATTGGTCAGTTGATTTGATTGTCCGTGCCAATTCGTGGTCAATTCGGTAGTCAATAATCGAATCAATGGTCAGTTTAATGGTCATAATATAAAAATATTTATTATGTTTAAATATTTAGAAGAAAATTTTTTTAATAAAAATACGTGTTTCGATATACGAATGAAAGAAACATTTTCAGTTTCGTAGGAATTTTAGCAAAAGGTTTAACTCAACTGAACATTATTGTCTTCTAAACAAATTTCAATTATTCGATATATGATATAAAATATTTGCTTAACCGATGCTAATTAATGAAAAATAATAATATCTTTAAATATAGAACGATACAGCCAACGACAATATCCCATAAAAATTTCTCCATTTTTGTAATTCCAAACGATTATACTTCTTCTCAAGGTCATTGTACTAACACATGAAAAAATTTAATTACAGGTAACCACGACGCCATTAATTTCTCCTCGAGACGCTTTCCATCGCGATGCTCACCTGTATAAGTCTGCGTGCTTCTCCTCGCCTGTCTGGCTCTGCTCGTGATCGCCTACCAACGGCAAGAAAGCGTGATGCAGCTCTCCCGATTGCATGCGTTTACCGCGTAGCCTCAACGCGCTCCACACGGCGATTCTGCGAAAGGGGTTGTTCTTCTCGCAGGCGTCATTGATGCGAAAAGTGAGCCCTCGTCTCGAAACCTCGAGTTCCGCTCTCACGGAGTCGTCGATCCTTTCCAGAAGTTGACGCAGAGGCTCTTGGAGACCTCGAACGCTGGCTACACGACCACCTACTGGAGCTGCTCCCATGTATTTCACCTGAGTGAATGAGTAATAATTTGATACAAATAATTTCCCTTTTCTAAATTAAAAGATAAGATTTTTTAATATTTCCATATTTTTTTGTCTCATTTCTAGCCGCAGCAATATAAACGTGCCATATTTCTTACTGGAAAATAGAATTTGGATATAAACGCTTACTTTTACATTACAATTATTTACAAAGTATTTGTTATTGCGTGTCGTATTATATGTTGAAATTAAAATGAAAAAAAGACGGATGAAAAGTGAAAATGAAAAAGAGTGAATTAAAAATATTAAAGTAAATTAAAAAATGTAGTAATGATTATTGTTATTATATGTTATGATATGGCTATTATCGAAAGCATCAAATTAGTTATCCTAATGGTTATCGTATATCAGGCAGATATCATTAGAGTGAAAAATGATAATGGATCTATTAAAAAGATAGCGAGGCGCGCGCATTTAAATAGCGGTATAATGAAAGTTCATTAAGATATAAATATCGCGTAAATTATATAGACGAATCGATGGTATTATCAAGAATTTCATCGATGCTGATTAAGCAGAATCATTGTAAAATCGTTTTACGATGTAATTGTTTGTTGCATATTTTCAATATAAAAGTGAAATGAAAAATTATTAACGAAAAAATTAGATACCCTTGCATTTGGAACTATATATAAAGAATATGAATATTATGAATTTTTGAATATTATTTTTAGAATATTTCGCGGAAGAAGCGAAAAATATTGATAAGAATTAACACATTTGATTAAGTGCCATCGTTATAAACATTTGTGATATCTTTTGAAAAATTTATTTCTAAAGGACAGAAATGTTAATGGCTCTTAAAAAAGAGAATATTTTTTAACGTCTATCGTTCAATATATGATAATTTAGATAGTGAAAAAATGAATTTTTAAAGTGTGCTAGACGCAATGTGACACACTTTTTTATTACTTCAACAGACTTTATCCGTAACTGTAACAACGAAACTAGTTTGCATATTGGGACAGACATCTGCGGATGATGGAACGAATAATATATGATAATGGCTTAAATTTAACGCTGATAAAAAAATGTTATTGAAATATTTCGATTTTTTTCCAATCAGCAAAATATTAGTAAAAGAAAATAACTCTAAGAAATTATTTCATTTGAGAAATATAAATAATAAAATATAAAATAATTTAAATCAATACATGATGATTATTTCAATAACATTTAGCCAAAATAAGATAATATATTATTTTAATCACACTTTATTTTCTTATTATGCTCTGTTCTATTCGCATTTTTAATAGGAATCACAATATTTTTAATTAAAATTATTTTCAATGACGACTGCAAAATATTTTATTTTCAAATATATATTTTATTTCAATAATGCTTAACTCTACCCTACATTACATTCTACCTCTTTTCAATCCAGTATACACAAGTATACTTCCTTTCTCCAGATCTTGTACCCAAATTTCTTTCTTAAATATATACCGTGCATCGAACCTTCGACCATACGTGAACTCGTTCTTCCTCCATGTTACAAATTTCCCTACAAACCCACTTTCCCAGTTTCCTTATCGCTTCGTCGCCGTTTCAAAACCAGAAATGCGATTGCACTTTTTTTTTCTTTTTTTTTAAATTTACAGTAATCACAATCGTGTTATCTAGAAAAGATGATAAATTCAAATCACTATGGAAGAAATTCCTTTCTCAATTTCAAGATCGTATAATACTCTGGATCGTGTTGAGGCAATGATCTGAGGCAATGATCTGGCCTCGGCGAGGCATCATCGCGGATGGCGCAACGAAACGATGCGGAAGAGGGAGAGCATAAAAGCGGGGCAATAAGAAAAATCCGCATACCTATTCGTGGCAACGAAGGGGAATTTTTCAATGCTCCGAATACATAGTCCAGCCTAGTCACGCTTCGTGAATCGTGAATGGAATGAAAGTGATGATTAAAAATCGTTGGGACCACGGATACCTGAGAAAAGTACCCGTGCTCTTTTGTCTTTGAATATTTTAATTGAATACTTATTAATATTCCTTTTTTTCTTTTTTTCTTTTTTTAGTAAATTAGATTTACAATTTCATTCGTATTCGTCAAATATGGATTTACATTGAGTTATATTGTAAGTTATGGATATGTGAGATACCTTTGGAAGATTTTAGATACAAAAATATCGCTTGAGGCTTATTTATTAATTTATACACGATTGAAGTTTGTGTTAATTAAAATGAGATAAAATGTAGAATTTCTGTCTTCATTTTGCTTCATCTAACATTAATTCAATTGTTTTGAAGAATCAGTCTTTCATAGAGATGTCTCACGAATATATTAACAACATTTCATTTGATGAAACATGAAAGATGTACTTCAAAAAAGACAAAAAAATATCATTTATCGTTTGGATAAAAGAATCCTCTTTTATGCGAATTATTCATCTTTCTAAATAAAAAGTTTTAAAAAGACATTGAATTAATTTGTTTTTAAGATTTTAATTAATATTTATAATAAATTATATGTTGGAAAACTATTAAAAATTATTTATCTCGGTTGTAAATACTTTTTTTTATAGATTTCTACAATTTTTAGTATTAATAATGTATATGTACGTGTATAATCATATAGAAAAAATTTATTAATTCATTTAACGAAAGTTTTTATAGAAATAATTTTAATTTTAATTAAAATATCGCGCTGATTCTTAAAAATCGAGAATACGAATAACGAAATAAAATTATTTTCACGAGGAAAAACTGTAAATCTCGGGTAATAGAAATAATAATATATCGTATGATTTCATATAGTAGAAAGTAGGTATGTTTCGGTGATTCTTTATCCAAACGAAAGCATGTAAAAGTTTCAGTTTCTTTTTCAACCATTATATAAACAACGCAAAATATTTTTCATCACTATGGTCAAATTATATATCGAAGGACTTATAGAATTTTTATAATTTTAAAATTTTGTAAAAAAATTGTTCGCTCATACGGTGACTGAATACGCACATACGACTTGGACTAGATGTTCTCTTCAGAGAAATCAATTTTGAAGAAGGATGTGTATCACGATATCACGCGAGTTAGGAGTTAAAATTGTTCAAAAATATCGTTTCTATCTCACGAAACAACCTCGTCGACATATTTTCCATCGTCTCTTAGACATTAGGAACGATATTCGCCTCTTTCTCGATGAAAATTTCGCTCAACCGTGTCGCATAATTAGTAGTACACAATATTAAGTGTTACGACGCTCTTAATCTCTGCTGACACGTTTCGTTCTACCCTCATTCGGCCAAATATTATTTAACATACGTCTCTTTGATCAGATAAAAAAAATATAAGAAGAAAAAAAATATAGATATTTTTAAGATATTCTTCATGATTACTGGACGAATACGGAAATATTCTTTAGGATCATCCACTTGAAGTAAAGTTGGGATCGGTTTATTGAAAATTTGAAGTTGATGTTGAAAATTATTATCATTTTCTTCAACATTATTAGAAAAATTTGAAAATCAATAAAAATCCATATTATCGCGTTAATTGTAGAAAAAGGAATTGATAATTAATGATATAATTTTCGAACGAACAAGTAGTACAACCAATTATACTAAATCTAAATTTTATTTCCATTCGAAATTGCTTTGCATTGAATTATTTTTTAAATTTTTCATACATGAAAGAATTTAGAGTAAACCATGATTAAATAATTAATTGAAATATTTAATATATATTCAATTAATTTATAATATTCTATAGTTGTATTAAGAAACTTTACAATTTTAATATCTCGTCGTTCTCATTCGAGTATATTTTCTTATCTCGAATAGAATTGATCTAAAAGTAAAATTGCGAAAAGATTTTTTCATTCATCGTCCGCACGAGTTTGATATTTTCTTGGTGAAGCATAAAGCGATCGACGCGTGTTTGAAGGCAATTTTCAACTCGTGAAGTAGGTGAATACATGGCCAAGGCGCGAACAGCTGCGAACTCGTCTCGAGAGTGGAACGAATGATCGTTCAGAGATTTTTCTCAGTACTTAGGGAGAGGGATGCGGTGACGAGGCCGTATGGTCAAATTAACATAAGTGAAAATCTTCTTTTTCTTCGTGATCCCGTCTAATTGCAGTGAAATCTTTGCTGCGATATACGTTTGGCGAATTGCATATACAGACTTATTCTAAAAATATTTATTTTAAGAAAATCAATTCGAATTTTGTTCTCGAGAAATTGAAATTTTTTTCGTATATTTAAAAGTGAAGAAACTAGAAGAAGATGAGAAATTTTTAAAAATTGAGCGAATGCTTTCATACTGACGTTAAATTCTTAACAATTGAATTTATTAAAATATAGAAGAAAATTAATAATTACAAGATTCTGAATTAAAATATTTACCCATATATTCATCGTTTAATCGTATATATACAAGATGTCATTTCAACAAACATGTAAATTATTTATTGCATAAAAAAAAAATGTTTCGTAGAAAAGTTACATAATATTATAAGGAAAAGATAATTTTTCTTTGTAAGTGGATACAAAAAAATATATATAATTAATGTTGTTAATAATAAGCGTCATTATCATTCGAGTTCATGAGAATAATTATACGAGAATAAAAATTATAAAGGAAAGTAATCAATATGTATATGTTACCGGTAAAATTGCAGCGACGCATTCTTCGGGTGTTCCGCTTTCGGCCTCCACCGAGGCGAACATCGCTTCGATCCGCGCTTGTACGGCGCTGTTCACCCGCCTTTGCTCCTCCGCCCCCACGTTCTCCACGTAATTCGAGTTCACAGTCGATACCCCACCGTACCATCCCCCAATGTTGGATCCGTAAATCGATCTACAAATCAATAAATGTCGAATAACATTTAATTCCTTTAATTTCTTTTGAATATTTTATTATTATTATTTCTTTTCTTTTTTTTTTTTTTCTAGGAATTTGAGATTTTGGAATTTAAGAAATCGAGAAGCATTAAATTTGTGTACCTGGAGTCCTCGAAAAGGGCATCAATGCGAGCTTTGCTCCTGAGAGAGCATTCCGAGGCGGGACCAGCCAACCGGAAGCCATCTTCGTAACAGGACATCCCCACGCAAGACATTTTCAATTTAAATTATATTAGAATAAGATCCACGTCTTGCAGGCTCCCTATGGCTTTTCTCTTGGTTGTATTTCTATACATCGACGTCATTCGTTCTGAAATAATTCAACAAATGTTTTTTTTTTTCGATAACAGGTAATTATCTTTCATTATAAAATTTTATCATTTCAAGTATTGATTACTTGATTATTGATTGCTTATACATTGTTTTAGACCAATTATTTTGAATGAAAAGCATGTCTTCGATGGTAAAAAGTAATTTGATATGAGCAGAATATTTTGGATACACGTGCAAAGCATTTTAAATTGGAAAAATTTCAATCTTCAAATTTATATACAATTTTAATTGTTTAAAAAATTTTTTAAATATTTGAATTTTATTAATTTTCTTAGAGAAAGAAAAATTTTCACTATTCATTTCCTGGTGTAAAATAATTTTTTTCGAGAAAGAAAGACAATTTAGCGTAAGAATATAAAAATAGATGGTTCGATCTTCAAAATGAACTCATGAAGATTATTGTACGACTATTTTTCACAAAGTATTTATGGTCAGCAATATATATTGATGAATCGACTTTTTATTAACAAGAAAAAGAGACTTGATTATTAACGATGATTTTGACTATAATTATTGACTATTAAGAAATAAAAATAAGATAAGAAATAAAAATGTCAATGAACTTTTGAACATCCAATAAGAAGTTCACGAAGATAAGTGGCGGTGAAAAAAAATTCGCAGGATTGGATTGTGGAGATCTGGCAAGGATCTCACCTCGTTTCCACGGACACTTGCCGCTGATCCGCAACCTGCGTTAAATTTATGCGAGAACAAACCGCGTCGGACGTACTAGCAATTAAAACTGTAATTGCAGGCAAGAAAATTGGATAAAAAAGACTTATCCGATCTTCTCGATGGACGCCTTTCAAAGTTTCAGTAAAAGTGATAGCTCCTCGTAATTTCACCCTTCGATATCATGCTTTTAGCCATGAATATCCATCCTATTCTTAATTAAGCTGCAGGATGATTTTTTTGGAACAGATTCTTTTATGTAATATTTTTAACAGGTATATTAATTTGCAAAATCTTCAGATCTTATATTTTTCAATATATTTTTAGGAAAAATACTACTAGTAAAATTATTATAATTTCTATCAATATATGACACATTTTAATCCTAATTTATTCAGCTGTATTGTGTATCTAACGTATATAATAATTGTAATGAATTGTGCTTTAAGTACTTTTAGATTTATCTTTTTTTATTTTAAATTTTTTATTTAATTTTAAAAATTTATTAAAGAAATTTAATTTGTAATTGTTTTATTTTTAATTTCAAATAATAACTTATGGTATAGTAGAAATTATCTTGAGATGAATAATATAATATCAACGTGATCTATACATTATTATAAAATTTTAATTTTCTTTGTAATTTTTTCAGAATTTCAATATCAATTTTTTTATGCAAAAGATTCGATATGTCATAACTATGCGAATTAAACTCTCAATGAATCAATGAATCTCGCTCAATTTCCTTACGGTTTGTGTCTGATCGTAAATCGTAACTAGAACATCTTTGCTATTGTTGCATCAGCGAATTCCAAAGGAATTTTCACGCTCGCAAGTTCGCAAGTCACACGAAACCTGGTTTAGAATGGATAAGAAGGAATTATGTTTCGCGAATCGCAATTGTTTACCGCGATAGAAATCGCGAATACTCGATAGAATTATTGCATGCATGCCATCGACATGAACACCGCTCGATTTTCACTTGGCACTCGCGTTTCTTTTGAACGTTGAAGGTCTATCGGGGAAGAAGCGATGCAAAACTTGAATTTCACCATGTGCGATAACATTTTTTAATATCTACATAGTATTTTTTAAGAATATAACTTCATTCTCAAAAGAATGGAAATTGATTTATAGAGATATCTTAATTTTGCATCGGTAATGCTTTATAATGATTCTTTGAATCGTTTTTTTATTTTTACAGAGAATACAATGAGCTGATAAGAATAGCTATACAAATTTCGTATTGTGCCATGATAAAAAAAATTGGAAAACTTTTTCAAAATATATAATTATAATACTTTATTCATTATTTTAAGACATTTAAATTAATCAAAATAGTAGAAACATATAAGGAAAAAATGAGAATATTATTAATTATTGAAAATTTGAATTACAAAAGAAATATTTTTTCAAAAATACATGTATAGAAAGTTTCAGATTATTTTTGAGACAAATGTTAAATTAAGTCAAGTTTTAGACTCTAGTAAATAAATCTCCCTAAAAATATCGAATCACATAACTTGATAACATTCAGAAAGTAAATTTATCTACTTTTTGTGATCAAAATCGTAATAAGAATTGTTTCTTTTCACTTCCAAGTGATTTGTATAAATGCAATTCATAAAAGAACTCAACCACTATCTTCTTAATCAATCCTCATCCAGTTATCCTCACCAAAATTGTGAATGTCATTCAAAAGCCAATAAAGAATCATTTCCTTCTGAGGTGGTGTATTGAATCATATCAGAATCCGTTCAGAATAAGTCGAAGAAGAATATAATATACATATATATGGTAATTATAATTTCTAATTTACAAATTCTTCTGAAAAACGAAGCTGCGTAAAACCTTGTACAGTTATTCGGATCGACTTTTCTGAAGGTGGCTATCTTCTCAACTTGTGTATTATGGAGAATAACTGTCGCTGACACGAGCACTTAAACGAAGCCCATCTGTTCGTATGTTCACCGTTGCACGCTCAAGTCGTGACCGATTATCGAAAATTGGACAATTATTCTGTTAATTGCAACAAACGGGAACGAATTTTAAATTTTGTTGTACGTCTCAAATATTGGGTACAGATTGGGTACAGCAATTGGGTTAAATATTATTGTAAAATTTACAAATAATAGCAGATCTATATTAATGAATTTTGTGTGACGGATATAATGAAATATAGTAATGATATTTTAATTGAAAAATTATAAAGAAAAAGTATCAATTACTTAGAAATTTAATTATTAGCTTGTTAATTCAATAAATTGTTTATAATTTTAATTGATAGATTATTCTTACAAAAAACAAAATGGCTCTAATTATTTTGTGATCAAAATCTTAATGGTCGATATGCGACCATAGGATTTAAAGAAAGTCGCATATTTTTTAAAGAAAATGATTTAGGATGATTAGGAATATTTAATTTTTCAAATTTTATTAATTGAATTTAAACCAATACGAGTCATGTTTGTTTAATCAATACGAAGATAAAAAGATTAATTTATAAGTGGAATCATACATAATTATGCATTGCAGTAAAATACAATTAATAAAAAAAATATTCAAGATGAAGATATTGGAAGAACTTAATTGAATCGTTACTTATCTCGAGTTAAAATTAAATACGCGTCTTAATTGTCTATTTAACAAGCCGCTCAACAAGATTTCATTTTTAAACGTAACTCAAACAAAAGAATGGTCCATAAACTTGAACGAAATCTATTCACGAGACATTAACTTTACTACTTTTTCTGTATTCTTTATCAACTAATTTATCAACGAACAATATTTTTTAAAACTACTACATTCTTATCGGTATTCTATATAATATATACAAATGAATTTAGAAATATATAATATAAATTTTTTTAAATAAATAATTTATAACAAAAAAACGATGAATTGACTGAATTGTATATATCATTTTTATTGTTAATTTCTTAATAATCTTCTAATAATAATAATTTAATAAATATAAATCTAAGGTTAGAATTTAATAAAATAAATATAATAAAATAAAATTATATTATATTATATTATATCAAAGGAAATATACATATTATAGAATACATATGTAATTAATTAGGGATTGATTTATCAAAAAACGATTTTATTTTCCTTTTTTTTAAATATTTTCTCAATTCACTAAATATTCTATCTATCATTTTAATAAATATAAACTTTGGAGTAATTACAAGATAAAAACCAGCTGCTGCTTATTTAGCCTCTCATCTCTACGAATGACGAAGTATACATCTTCCTTCACGCGATGGCCGGCAAAGGCAGCGAATATTAAGGTCGACAAATGGATATCACGTGTCGACGAATCGCATGAAGAAGCTAGTAGTTTTCTGATTTAAAGAGTGTGGATCGTTCAAATTACAATTACCAAGTTTATGGTTCGTTTCCCGGCCGAGTTCAGTCTGATGAAAATCGAATAAACAGACGGAAGTTACTAAAACTGGTCACACGAAACTGTTTGCGTGCGAAGGAAAATCGTGTCGAATTCACTCACTCGCTCCTTCGAGGTGAAAATCTCGATTGGTCGGATAAATCGGAGAAAAATGGAAGTCGAAGAAAATAGAGTTAAAAAACGAATAAGGTAATCTTTGCGAAATTGAGTAAAAATTGAAATAAACAAAACATCATTGATTTCCTTTGTCGTTACTTATCTTTTTTTTAAATAAAATTTGCATATTTTTACTCAATTTCTTCAAGAACTAATTTTTTTAAGACTAAAGAAAGATAATTATTTTTTATATTTTAATGATATTTATTCAAAGAATATTTATAAATTTTATTAAACTTTATTCTCGTTTTTTTTTTTAGAAATATTCTTGAATTGAACAAATTAAATGTATGAGAATTACTATTGTAATCGAATTATTAACAATGAAAATGATATAAAATGTAGTGTATGTGAATAATTATATGAATAATATTATTATACAAATAAATAAAGGAACATCGAATCTTTCTCTCTCTTTCACTTACATTTAAACAATATTTTTCACTCTGTAACAAAGAAATTATTATCGAGAACAAGAAGAAACTATTCTTAAAATCTTTCTTAAATTCTTTTAATGACACGTGATATATAACTATATATATATATTAAAATTTCATTCCACTTACTTTCCCAATCGATTCCCTTAATCTCATTATTGCTAAAAAATCTTCAAACATAGAAATATCCAAAATCCTCTGGAGAAACACCGGTGCACGCCCACTATTAATTCCATCGTGAAAATCACTCGTCGATCCACAATACTCCAGATTCTTCCATCTTCTTCATTTATCAAAATTACACGATCCTTTCGACGAAGAAAAATCAAAGCACAATTCTTCTTTCACAAACTTGGATTAATTGAACTCGCTCCCTTTAAAATCGACGTCCCCCTACGTCGATTGGCGAACACACAGAAGAGAACATTGACGAACGACCTTGGCCGCGAGTCGATCCGGATGACCGTCGACGTGAAACTGCCGGGGATGTTCCGCAGGAGAGACTCGAGTTCTCTGGCCAGTGAGTCGGCTCCTCCACGCTGGAACGAGAAGGAGGAGGAGGAGGAGGAGGAGGAGGAGGAACAAGAGGATGAAGATCGACGGAGAGAGACTTTCTGCTCTCCTCGCGGTGCTCCATAGGAAGGGTGAACGTCTGCCCCCCCCTCCCCCCACCCCCCGCAGCTTTTTACCGGAAACCTCGTCTCGAGACACATGGATGACACGTACGCATCATTTTGATTAATCGGTTTACTATCGATCTTTATTCAATTTCTGGAGATATGACGCTTGAGAGGGATAAGTAAATAGAAAGTTGTGGTTTAGAGGGAAAATTCTATTTTTGGAATTCTCGAGAGAGTGAAATGATTACATCGTGTATGAAGATATTCATTTTCTTTTTGTAATTCTTTTCTTTCTTTCTTTTTTTTTTTTTTTGATAATTTAATTAATTTAATTAAAATTATGCGTTAAGAACGATCCGCGAATTCCAAGTTTTATAGAATTTTCTCCACTTTTTTCTTTTCTAAAACGGTTTTCTTTTTTAAAAGTAGGATACTTTGGATTATTAGTTTTCAGAAATTTGAAAGATAACGATTAGATATTTTTGCGTAAGAATAGTTATTCGAAACAAAAAGACTGTAATATGTATCCCGTAATTATAATTTATCTAAATTTGTGCGTTTTAGCGAGAAGAAATTCGACAGTGCTGGCGGGAAAGTGGGTCGAAAACTAGTTACGTATATTATGCAAATTACCCTGTATTTAATGTGTAATCATTATCCAAAGGAAATGCTTAAATTGCTAAGGAATTGAAAAACGCACGATACCTACTCATTACCATTATAATACTAACTCAAGACTAACTTATTTGCATCGAAAAGAAATTACAGGAAAAGACTGCTGACTTCCCCATTATTCCGTATAATAAAACATTAATAAAAATAATTGCTGATTTTCACGAATGATCTATTAAAAAATCGAAACTCGTTCAGTGCCTATTACAAATTTTCACTTCGCCTTTTAGATCTATTCAAATCCACGCGATCGGAGCGAAAATTAAAAAAATCTAAGCTTAAAAGAAGCATATACCTCTCAAATTTCACGCGATTGATTCATGAAGCGAGACTATTCGTATTCGTTCCAAAGATCGATACGGGATCACGTATAACGAGATCTGCGTGTCGTTTTGTTACACGTTACATTGTATCCAGTGACCAATATTTTTACTCCGATCGTGAAAGGACGGCTGGGGTCAAGGGAACAAGAAGAGAAAAAAAAAAAAAAATACGAGGAAAGAGGATGAGAATGAAGGGAGAAGCTGAGCAACCGCAGTCTGGATTCTCTGGTTTCCATCGCTGGTCCTCTTCGACGTGGTAACGCGGTAACCGATAACGGTACCGTGCTTCGACGGCGTTCACCAATGTGAGAGTACTGTTATTCCAACGATGCAGCTTTCCTCTCTGTTCCACTCCTGTCGTCGTTCCTTCTCGTCCTGTTCCTTTGCCACCCGGCAAGCGTGAAGCAACATGGATGCTTGTTAGTCGCTCCTTAGCGCTCGTCGAGAACGTAGGAAGAATAGGTGTGGGATCGAGTAGATCGTTGAAGATAAGAATTTTTCCAAAAACGACAGTGATTTGATTATATAACTGTTTCAACATTTGGTAGATTAGATCGAGAAGATATAATGAAAGAAGGATGAGTTTTAGTAACGATGGATTGAGTGATGTGATACGTTTAAGAATAGATTAGATGAGAATTCTTTTGAAAATGACAGTGATATGATGATAATTATTCGAGTTGATGTAAAATGGAAATGTATAATGAGCTTTAGATGGAGATAAAGAATAGATGAATGAGCTTTAGATGATAGATTAAGTGTTAGTAGAGTTTAGAAATTGGACGAGGGTTAACGCTTAATCACACGGATTTAGAGATATGGCGAGTTTGTAAAATCAATTTATAGAAACTAAAAATATTCTCTCCAATTCTGATAATGATACAAAGAATGATGAATTGAATGTTGGGTAGCTAGAAATTGAATTAAATTTTCTATTCGATAAATGGAAAATAAAATTTGACAAGACAATAGATTAGACGTCAGATAAGTAAAAATTAAAGATTTCAACTAGTTAATGAGATTTATTGGAAACTCAAAAGTAAGTAAGAGCAATAAGGTTTTGTAAAAGCATTAAGGGATAGAATAGAAAATATAGAGATGACGAATGAAAAGATGGTTAAGAAAAAAGATGTGATAAAATTATCTCACGTCATTTTCTTCCCCTATGTAGATGGAAGGTAAGCAAAATAGGAAGCAATTACAGTATATTCTAATCTTCATTACAGTGATAAATGGCATCATACATCATACATCTCTTGAAGAAATATCTGGAAATTTTATAGTTTGTATACATTATATACATTTTCCATTTCTAGAGATGGAAATTTATATTTTACATTTCTAGAGAAAAAATCCGATTCAAATAACATTTCATGATAAAATTTCCTTGTAAATAAATTTTTTATTTTTCTTCCATCCGATACTGAACATGATACTGAAATGTTAGATACAGAAACTGTACTTACATGAATATATTTTTTAAGAATTCAAGTTCATATTTCGATTTAGAAAAAAATTCTCTATGCACATGTTTCCTGAACTTGATATTGATGTTACGTACTAGATAGATCATATTGGTCATGCTTATATTTACATAATGAGGGTTTTCGCTTAACGGGATCAAAGTTCATCGTCGAATAAGATGGACTTGAAATTACAGGTTTAACCAATACATCATACGGTACCAGAACAACATAAAGCATGCTCAATTACGTGTTCCCCATAAATTCATTTGCATACTTTAATTTTTTGTTTACGTTCCTCGTATCTACTTCCTTTTTTCTATCACATTGCCACGGCGAAAGTAATCGTTCGAATGATAAACGCGTTTTCACCTATTTTTCCTGCTTTCTACTGTTCCAGGAACAAAATATTTAATAATTCTCTTTTTATAAATTCATTGTCCTTTTTCTTAAAATATTTAAAAAAAAAAAGAGTAGGCTTAAGATTTTATGTTTATACATTAAGTAATTCGAGTTTCATTTTTTTAAAAGATAGAATAATAAAAAACAATATTTTCAAAAGAAAAAATTTCATAAGAAAATCATACTCTTCGGTTTCTCAAAATTCTGAAGAAGTTATTCGTTTCGCATGTTTGCAATTTTCTTGATTAAAACGTACCGTCAATTTTACAATAATATCCAGTTATTTTATGCACTGTACCATTACATGGTCGTGGGTATTGTAAACGACAGCTGACGGACATCGCTTCGAGGCGGAAGTTATCGCGGCCACTGATTTTTCATCGACTCGCTTTCGCAGCTGTCGTCACCTTCGAAAGATTTTCCTATAAGATAGGAGATTTGAAAAAGTTCTTTGTTTTTCCAAAATTTATTAATTTGAAAATGTTATTTATTCTAAATTATTTATTTGCTTAGGTTCTTAAATAACTTATTATTTTCTTATTTTCTCATTATTTCCTAAACATCTAATAAACATTCCAATATTATAATTCTGTGACGACTGGTCTTCGATTAAATTCTACAAAAACATTTATTGAAGAAAAAAATGTTAGTCAATAAGAAAGTTTATGATATAATTTAATATGGCCCTTTATTATTCAACCTCTTTCTCTTGAACTTTAATTAAATTCGTCGCGTAGATTTTTTCTTTCTTTCATTTCAATTCAAATTCATTATCCATTCGTGTTTGTTATAATTTAGTCCAGTCCAAGATCTTTCCTTCGTGTTTTCTGCTTGTTTCCTTTTGATTCAGACATCAGTCGCGAGCATGTGCGATGCAATTACACAGTCTGGCTCATACGAAAAGGAACGTGCGATTGTCAACGCTTGAGATCCGAAGTAATATGCTGTCGTATAAAATATACTTTTGTATCGTCTATTGTAAAAATCAAGCTTTTTGACCATTTTTTACAATTTTGTTAAAAATATTTAATCAGTTTTTATTACAAAAATTATTATTATGAATGTATAAAAATTTTCAAGTTTTTAATTAAAAGATCAAAAAGTAGATACAAGACAAATTATGTAAAAAAGAAAATTTCCAATAATTTATAATAATAACGATATAATGTTTGACCGATGAATTACTTTAATCTCTTGACATTATTTAAAAAATCGCAATTTTTTGTCCATAATAATATTTCAAACTCACAAAAAGATGAGAAGACTCCAGAAGACGAAAAATGAATTTTATCGATAATTGAATTTCGATCGATAATAAATATCCAATAAATTTGTTCCATTGCTGACCCTGTTTCTACCTAAAAGCATTTACGCTTATATGCGTACACGTGTGGGTAACTGTAAATTGTCGCGTCTAACTGTAATACGGGCCATTGATGTTTCCATCGCGAAATTATATGGGAATCGAACGAAGATGATTTTACTTTTTAAAATATATATATATATATATATACATACTTATTATATTAAAATTGAACTTTGTACAGATTTCTCTGAAGATTTCTCCGAAGATTTTCCTCACCTTTGATCTTCTCTTAATTGTTAAATTACACATAGAACGTAACGAGTGTTCTTCTCGATGGCGCATTCCAATCGACGATTGCCTTCGACGCGAGAATAACTGTTATGTATGTTATGTTTTCACAGTCTTCGTTTTCATCCCTTCTCTCTCGCTTTTGAACGCAGATGCGTCTTAACAAGTCTTATTGTACTGCCTTGAAATACGAAGAACGTAATTATCTATTGATGGCGTATATATAATGATGATTCTATCTATTTTCATTCGAGAGAATACTTCTTGGAGAAAATTTGTTGAAAGAGAATTTGAAATTTTAAAAAGTGAAAACATTTTAGAATTCGACGTTCTTAAAAAGTAAGCTAAACAAATTCTTAGAAAGAAAATCTCTTAAAAAGTAAGCTAAACAAATTCTTAGAAAGAAAATCTCCCCCCTCCTTTTTTTTGTTACAATGATTTACTGTGAATTTAATAAAAGTATAGATATATTTGAAAATTTGAAAAAAATCCTTTTGTAATATTATCTATTTAAACAATGATTTAGAATAAATTTAAATAAGATATATGGGCATAATCAAAAATTTCAAGAAAGTATTTTTTCGTGGAAAATAATCTTCTTTTTTTGAAATTCATCGTTTCAATTTTCAACTTTATAGCTTATAGCTTACAGATATAGAAATCCCACGAGTTGTTGATAGTTTTTTTGTTGCAGATTATAATTTATGAATTATTCGTGGCGCTTGGTAACTCATGTTTACAAGTTACAAATTATAACGGGACTATCTGTGTTAACATTGTTTTAGTACTGTTATTCTATTCACTCTCACGCATATGGTATAATATTGGGAAAAATAATTTTATTAAAAAAATAAAAATTCATTGAAACGATATATTAATTAAATAAATTAGAAAAGAAAATGAAATATTTATGTGTTTACTTGAAGAACCATTTTCTACTCAACAACATAAAAGTTATGAAAAGAATAAATGCGTTGAAGAATCATCATATTTATCAATAAAAAAGATTTGTAATGGCGTAAATGCATATAATTACGAATGATGCTATACATCATGGATATTCGTGAAATATTAATTGCAATCTTAATCTAATTATAATATTATTTTCAGTATCGAGAATGATTATATCAATACATTGATCTCTCAACATGATTTTTTAATTAAGCGATATAATATATTTTTTATTATCTTCTCTTCCTTCATCATCAATATTCTTTTTCTTTCATATAATATCTTTCATATAAGATCATAAGATCGATTATTATGAAATCATATTACACGAATTGAAATTTAATAAATAATATTGATAAATTGATTGATTAAATAGAATTAGAATTAAATAGAATTACTTACAATTAAATACAAAGATCAAATATATCTAAAATACATTGAATACAATCTATAAGGACGAATTTTTATACGAAAGGCTGATTTAGAATTCAATCTACAAAATAATAAATAATAATTTCAATTTATTCAGAGGAATGAAAAAAACAATAATAATCGTATATCTCACGTATAAAAAATGAAAAGATGAAACAAGGAATTTCTGCGTTACGTCAGATGGAGATGCGCAATAAAGGTCGGTTCTCGCGCATCCATAATCCAAGGCTGTCTTTCTATTCCTTTTACATCGTGTCATCGTTCAAAGTAATCGCCAATCATAATCGAGGACTATTCCAGAAGCTCGTCGAGGTATTAACGTGTAATTTCAATCGTAATTTAGATGAATGTTCCAAGTATTTAACATGGAGTCATTAATGGAAGAGGAAGAGTGCCATGTTAGCACGTGACGTTCGTGGTTGGATGCACTCGACTTGCAAGGTTAGCGAGTTTAAACATCGCAGTGTCATCGTTTGAATCATGGAGATCCATGATTTGTACGATTCCCAAGATTAATTATCCGTAAAGTTATTTTTACCTACGATTAATCATGATTTGAACACAATATTATCTCAACTACGATCAAAGGATTGTTTATTAATCCTTGACAAAATTTCTTGAAAAAGATATATTTATACGTAAGATAAAAACAAATGTTGATTAAATTATTACAATTACATGTTGGAAAATTTGATTTCAATTTTTTAAATATATTTTAAATATGGTAAAAAGAAGAAAGCATCGATACACGTATTTATAAATAATTACGATAGAAATTAAAAATGATTTGTCAAAAAAAATTTTACAAATCTATGAATCTTTAATTTTATCTTTTTCAAAAAGATAATTTTCAAAAAGAAAATTATTATTATTATTTGAATATAACGCTTAAAAGACGCTTGTAAAAATTTCTAAATCAAATCTTTATATCGAAACTAAAAGGATATCGTAGTTAATGATTAATGTCATGGGTTTTCAAATATATGTATCTATTTCTAAGAAACCATACTCGTTTTAAGTTCATTTAAAGTAGGATGGATACTCGAAGAAATTTCTATAAAAAGCACGACATAAGGAAATGAAACGTGTTCAACTTACGGCTGACGGGAAAAGACTTCCGATAGTAGAGTTTAACGAGACTCGTTTTCAAGAGGCGAGGAACAGGAGGGAGATAAAAAAAAAAAAAAAGGAAAAAGGCGTTCCACTTAAGCTGCCAATCAAGGCGATTTGCATTCCAGGAACGTTTGCCGCGATCGCGAAACCGGCGTATATCGTCGGTTGCGGTTAACCCTGAAAATTACACGCGAGAACGGAATGTGGTCGACGATAGAGACTCGCGTGTATTCGTCCCGAGAGCACACAGGTATGCGCCATAATATATCGAGCAGGAAACGCTTGATTTCAAATCTATCGCGAAATACTCCTTAGAATACTACTCTTTTACGTCTTTGCCAATGGCTAATGCTATGAATAGTCACCGCTTCTTGTTTTCTTTCCAAACTACGATTCCTTCATTTATAGATATATATATAAATTCATTTTACTATTTTTCAAAGATTTCTAAGCCTTGATTAATGCTATAAATATTTAAATATTGCTTTTTCAAGTGTGCCAAGTAGATTTTACTATATCGTAATTCTTCGTAATTTATATTATAAATTTTCAATTTGTAATATTCTTGAAAAATTTCTCTTAAATCGATCGGTGTTAAAAATGCTTAAATCATTATTATCGTTTGGATCATAAGATAGATTATAATTAATAGAAATTATAATTTTAAAAAAAAAATTGTATTTTTTTTGTCAGTAAAGATTTTGATGAAATTTTAGTTTTTGGAAGAGAATTCGATTCATCATAGAAATTTATTTTATTTTTGTATAACTTATATCATTAATTTTGGTATATTTCTTTCGGTCCACCGATATTATGAATATTCGATGTTTTACGATTCGATGGAAAATGTAGTTTTAAAAAAAATTCCAAGTAAAAGGATATTTGTCATTTTGAATTTTCGTTTCGATGAAAATAAAATTTCGTTGTTCTATTTTAATTGCATTGTTAGTTTATTATTAATTAATCTTGCATGGCAATCGACACGTAACAATATACATAATATGTTCACAAGTAATTCAAGAGGATGGGATGGATCTCCAATTATCCGTCTTCTGTATTTCTCGTATTTTTAAAAAGATTCTCGCTCTCTTCTTAGATTTCGAGCCTTTAAAATCAAACTCATTCCCAAAAAACTCTTTACAGAAATTCATAAAATTTATCGAAACAAATTTTTACAAAACTTACCATTTTTGAACATTCTTTTGATCTGAATTTAATTCTTCGCATCGACATATGTTTAATAATAGCATCTCGTAAATTCAATACAGATATTTAAATAATTACGGTCGGTGATGTTTAAAGGCTTGTGTAAGAGGACAAACGTGTCACGAGATAAAGCGTTTACACAATGTCTCCAGAAGGCGAAGGCGGAGTGACTCCATCGCGTTCGATAAATCATTATAAATACATTTTCATTACGATACATGTCCGCGAAACGAGCATAGATCACGATAAATAAATAATCGTTTACGCTTCGCGAAAATCTCGATCAATTTTCACCGTTTAACTCTTCGTTCGAACAGCCATTTGTCTCTCTATCATCGATATCCGATATTAATTTCATCTATCAAAGGAGTCTATCAAAGGAAGAGTTAATGGGATAATTTCCGAGAGAAATCCTTAAAAAAAGGTAATTGTAATTATTATCGATCGTATGAACGATTCGTAACCCATTAACGATAATGTGTAATTATTTGCAGAGCAAAACGCCATACCTGTTACTTGAAACAGTAGTGTTTGTCATCGGAAGGATTCTATTTAATATAGAGGAAATAAGAATAGAAGGGACGTTAGACGTTGCTCTTCAAATATATAACACGATTCTATTCGAAAAATTTAAGTTATAATTATAATCATCGAGTTGAAAACACTCGGATGGGGTTATTTCCTATACAATTCATCTGGCACATGCGATAATAAAATAAATAAGTTCCAGTTGCATCTTTTGTCCGACTTGCAAGTGTCTCCGGTTTTTCTTTCTCCCTTCGTTCCGATACCAGGCTGTTTTCCATCACTTCCAAACTCTTCACTTTATACTCGAGATTAAAAATCGAGGACGTTAAAGACAATCGGGTATCGAGCATAGCTTTTAAAATCAGACTCAAGAAATAACAAGAAAATAAAAATAGCGGACGAAATATTGTATGGAAATTAAAAAGAAAAAGAAAAATGAAGATAAGGAAATGTTTGAATCGTCTGCTGAAAAGATGAACGATTATTTTTTTCAAAGTCAGTCTTATTTTTGTCAACTGCGAAGGACAAACGAGCGGAACTTCCGTTCCAGCCTGATAATCTTAATGACTAGGCGAATCTACGAAAACTCGCGTATCATCCTTATTAGGCTCCAAGCTTTGAATATTTCTGTTAAATTCAGCACACCGAAAGAATTAAACGACAGAATTGAAAGAGATAAAAAAAAAAAAAAATGTCGATACAATTTGCAAAGTCGGACAATTTATGACGTTTGGCACTGATTCCCATTCTGGACCACTCGGGATAGCACTTGGTGGCGCTATCTGTCTAGTTTAACTTTGAAGCAAACGACTGACGCGACATCATTGCGATCTCACATCCGGTAATTCGGTATCTCTATTTTTCACAGCAGAATTTACACACAATTGCATCGTAAGTTACCGAATTATGCAATTTTAATGCGGAAAAATAACAACGACGTCGTATCACTCATCTATATTTATATTTATGTAGAGACAAGAGGACAAGAAACGGAAAAATCGAAGATACGGTGGTCGCATGTATAATTAACAACACAAAATAATTGCTTTTAAAAGGAAAAATTCGCAATTTTAGCGTGGAAAATTGGATAATCAATGTAGCGAATCTCTTTTATTACTTTGAGCAATTGAAGCATCGTTAAAATTGAAATTGATATTCAGTTTTTTTTTCTACGTATTTCTTTGCCTCGTTTTGATTGACGCAATGGCGGTAAAATTAGATACGATTTGCTTACAACAATGATGTCATTAGAACTGAAAAGAAATCTCGAAGACAATTGGTTTGTAACCAATGAAAAGAATTTTCGTCATGTCGAAAGCCAAAGGGTTCAATTTGTTACACGATAAGTGTTAGTGGGTCGGGTCAGAGTTTCATAAACTTTGACCACGAACGCGTTTATTTAAAAGAGATTGTACGCTTTGCTTACGTTTGTTAAACGCATCGAGGTAAAGGGAATAAACAAAATTATTAATTATAAATTATAAATGTTTTTTTTTTTTAAATATAATATTACGCGAATTTCAAAACATTTACAAATTTTATTATTTCTATAGGAATTTTTCTTGTAAATTTTCATGTTTCTTTCTTTTTCTTTTCTTTTTTAAAATATTCTGTTATAAAATCCTAAACTTTTATTAAAATTTTATCAAAATCATTTCGAATATTTCTTTCTTTCAACATTTTCACCTAAAACGTTGCTTAAATTATAAATTAAATCATAAGCAGGTTTTGCTATCTAAGAATTATACATTCCATGGCATAATTCGGTCCATTGCACTCGCGATACCTTGAACCAACCACGCAATTCTATTTCCCCCCTCCCTTCCTTTTTTTTTATCCTCCTCACGAGTTATGCATTGCGAGAATAAAGAAACTCGTTACGAAACCAAAGAGACACTTTTCACCAAGCCGATCAATGCAATCGATGAAGCGCGAGCAGTAAGAATAATAAAGAATAGTTTCCAAGCGATATTCCACGTTACTTGTTCATTTGCCGATCATTAACCACTTTTATATATTCTTTTTCCTTATCTTCGCAAAAATCAATCAAAAAGCAAACGTAAAGAAACGCAAACGTTGCAATTTCTACTTTCTTTTCTTTTAACGTACTATAGAATAATTTTAAAAAATTTCAAATCGCTGGTAACGAATAATTGTCATATTTATGAACTCGATAAAATCAAAGTAGAAATAAATTATCGATTTTTTTTTGTAGGAATAATAAATAAATGAAATGATAAATAAAGATATCTCGTATTTTCATTAGGCAAATTGTTTCAACAAGCGAGACGATCGAGAAAAAATCCAATAAGAAAATATATAGCGAGTGTATAACATCGGTCGCGAATCGATAATAATCGAGTGTCTAATAATACATGCATACTCGTCCAGGAAAAATGTATTCGTTTATGCATGCAAGATATCTATGACCAGTTTCGAAAATAGATATATTCGATGCCCAAGTGAACATGCCCGTTGGATTGACTCTGATTCCTGATTAATTAATTAATTCGGACTCGTTTTATAAAGATTGTTAATTATAACCTAGAATTCCTCGTATTCCGACGGATAATCTTAACGGAGAAAAAATATATTAATCATCGTTGAAAATTATTTTAATTTTCAAAAAATATTTTTCCCAAGTTCGATACTTGCTCAATTTTTGACTCGAGCGTGAAGAAACGAATGTTTCGCGGATTTTCTCCCCCTATTAAGCCGCGCACTAATTACAATCATCAGGTTAATTGTGCGGAACAATATTGGCAACTTCGTCTCGGTGATACTATTGCACAAAGCAATTGCATTTCAAGCTTCCCAGATTTGGTTCTCACGAGCACGATTCTACACGCGATTGCGCGAGTCGCATCAAAGTATGAACGCTTAAGTAATCCCCGTGTCTCCGCGGTTATTAAATACTCGTTCGTTACGATAGTTGTTTTTTCCCGTGGAAAAGCGGGGCCGTATGTCAAAGGAACGCGCCGTTTCCCTTATGTTAATGGTGGCGCCCCTGCAACCCGAGTAATTTTCCCACCGCGTTGCGCTACGCGCGTGAAACAACGTGCAACAAAAAATAAACAGCTCGAAACATGCAAATGATCGTAATTACAGCGCATTCTCTTGGAAATTTTATAGATTCCGGTTATAATTAATATATAATTGTAATTGGATTTAAGGTTAATACCGCAAGGACGATTAATCAAGTTTATGAAATCTCACGAAAACGTCACGAAAACGATGTTTCTATAAAACTTGACATACGTATACGATTTGATATTTGTTTCCTCTTATTGTGAGATTTGTTGCGTTTCGTCGACAGAAAAATGTAAAGATTTTGCGTAAGATATATTTTTGATAATATTGTTTCGATCGTAAAAGAAAGAAAGAATGAAATATATGAGTTTTGTTTTCCAATCTCTCAAAATTCTCGTTCCTTTTCCCTTACGGCATAACTTTTTCTCATGCAATTAAGATTAACGTTTGCGTTCTCACGAGCGAGCCAACTGAAAGTCGTGCGTCGGGAAGCGAGAAAACAGGAGTTGAGTTTTCTAGGGGGAAATTGTTCGACGATTTTTCGATAATTTTAGAAGAATGGCGAATTGTTCACCATTATCACGATGAAATCGATCGAATTCATTAAAATTGAAGTAATAAAAATAACAATGAACGATCTTCGAACCAAAATTTCATTTTTAACCAGTTTTAAGAAATTTTAAGCATCGAATTAAATAATAAAATTCGTAAATAATATTTCGTTAGTGGATATATAAAATTCTAGCTTCAAAATTATTATTTTCTTGAAGGAAATATTATATAGATTGCCTGTGCACGGTGTCTAACGAGTTTCAACCATTAGAACGATCTTCTTGGTCTGGTGACAATAATTCGAGCTTGTCCAATTAGACAGGAAGAACTTTTTTTTTCGTTGCATCAATCTTTTCCGCCAACCACGATCAATTAAAGAAAAGAACATCAAACTTTATCGATTTAATCTTTAGAAGAATCAAAATTATATTCGATATTTTACTTCGATTGAATCATATCTCATAAATTATTTTCTCAAGAGAGATATATAAGAATATATTCTGTCAAAGGGATAACTATTTATGTAAAATGTTAAATTTAACTTCTAAAAAAAATGCTATTCTTGTATAAGTATTTCTTGCAACAACTTTTAAGAATCAAGTTTTAAGATTGCAAAAGAAAAAAAAAGAAAAAATAAAAAAAATAGAAAACAAATTGGGAAAACTTAAAATATAAATTTCTTTCCACAAAAGCATCCCACGAGCCGAGTTGTTAATTCGACAAAGGCAACCAACTCTCGAGATAAGACGATCGAGGTCACAGGTAGAAACCTGCACGACGAAGATGAGGCCTGACGTTTGTCAGCTTTTTACCTGTCCGTAATTTTCCTACTCGGGGAAGGTTGTTCCGAGAAACGAAAGCCAACTGAACCAGTTGGGCACAGCTCGACCACCTATCGCGATTTTCCACGCTAATGCTGCGACGAATCATTTTCCTCGTATTTTTCCGCTCAAACGAATGATCCCTGTTCGAAAACTTCGAAAAACGAAATTTCGAAATTTCCATCTACGAAAACGCTCGTTCTTCGAAGGAAAACGATAGGCCAACATCTATCTTGCGTCGTTCAATTCAACGAAACACGATCGATCTCAAATCCATTCCCATTGGATTTCTTTCTGACTAAACGGATTCTCTAAATAAATTCTAAACGATAATCGTTCGCATTTCCACGAGGGAGTAAAGCGTCCCCGTTAGCCAGACTTGGGACGAAGCGTCGTTCGACTCGAGCAACGATCTCTCCAGACTTGGATCGACGAGTGACTACGGTAAGAATCGATGCGAGTATCGAGCGATCTTAACGAGGTCGGGGCCTGGGAAGAGGCTGGAGTTGTTGCTGATGATGGGAATAACCGTTCCTGGGGTTGGCCGGTGGCTGCGCCCTCTCCGGGCTATCGTCCAAATTCAAACCGGCCACCAATTGCGCTATCTCCCTGTCCTTCTTCTCTTCTTTGGGCAACGCGTTCCCATTTTGCGCGCTAAAACCTAGAGAAGCCAAACTTCCGTGACTCCTGCTACGATGCTCCGCCCGGATACTGTAGGAGAACGCCCTCTCGTTCAAGTGGCCCTTCCGCCGATAGATGCCGGTACCGAAACGCGATTCGTTTTCCGGACTGTCGGCCGCTCTGTTCATTTCGGCGGAAGTTAGGTCCGCGTGAGACGCGGCCAGCCTCCTGGAAGCACCTAAGGTCGAAGAATCCGCGTCGGCGTGTTGCCTTCTGCCTCTGTTCCCAGCCGTCCCGTAAGTTCCAGCCGGGTAAATAGCTGCAGCGGGTGGAGGAGGCACTACCGGGAGGGGGGCGTACACAGGGACAATCGGGGCGGCTGCTGGGATCGGTCTGAGCCCTTTGGGATGGTGGTGAGCCTTCCTGGGCAAAGTGGCGGCTGGGACCAACAAAACCGGGGCTGGTCTGGCCAGGGTTCCGGCCACGGATCGACTGCTGGGCGGCAGAGGATGAGGGTGATAGTGTTGCTGCCTGACCGGATGACCCAGAGTGTGATGTCCATGGCCGTTGGTGTATATTCCCTGGTGAAGCTGAGGGTGTAGATGCGCCTGTTGCAAGGGATCTTCGTGAGACGATCGGTTTTTCAGTTTCTTCAACTTTTTGTTGGCTTTCCTGCGAACGGAGGAGGAAGAGGATTCCTCGAGGAGCAGAGGTTGAGAGGGTGGGGGCGGTGGCGGCGGTGGAGGAGGTGGAGCGACCAGCTGACGGGGCCTGGAACCCTTGGTACTCCTCAGAGTGCCTTGTTCTTGGTATAAACCTTCAACCTCGTCGCGACCCCTGGCCCAAACTTTGTGATTCTCATCACCGTTGTACAGACTGATATCGTCCGTCGAAGTGGCGTCCAAACGTGTCGCCTGAGGACTGTCCAAAGTGGTGCTAGATCCACCTAGGGTGTGATACAGGCTGTTATTCGAAGGGTGACCGGTGACTCCGTTGGTCGTGGCGCTCGGGTCCAGACCCTTGGCGTAGCTGCTGTCGGCGTACGCGTGAAAACAACACCTGACCAGGGCGTTGGCCGCCATGTCGCGTTTACATATGAACGCGTGACACTCGAGAACCTTGATACCGGTAGTTCGTCGAAGAACCGCGGCGAAAAGGGGCGGATGATTGGCGCTTGGTGTCCTGGCGAATGGCGAGTCCAAGGGCAGAAACCTTGTGTTGGAGGAGTCGCCGCTTCCGCCTTTGACGTGCCTGACCGCGGCGCAATAGTGAAGCGCCTCGATGGGAAAGAACCTGGTAACCTTCTTGCGATGCTCGTCCACGTTCTCCAATAACAGGCCATTGCTCCAAACGCTGAGCCAGGAGTCGAGTCCACGTGCTCCTAGGGCGCCCTGCTCCGGATACAATTCCCTCAAAGGTTCCTGGACACCGAGTAAACCTTCCTTGCTGGCATGGGGCACGGAGCTGCCCAAGTACAGGACTCTGCAACGACAATACGGTGTCGCGGTATCTTGATTGGCACCCCTCATTTTCGCCAACGATTCTTCCGAGGATCCGACCGACCTTCCTTACGATTACAGACTTTCTCAACCTTCCGCCGCGGTCGCGTCCCCTCCCTCGCTTTTCACCTCGCTTTTTCGACTAATCCTCAGAAGAGGAAGTGGAAGCAAGTACACGCGACAGCCAAGTAGCTAGCAACGATCCAGAACCGTCGAATCATCGAAGCACCGAGCATCGAGCATCGAGTCGATCGGAAAATAAAAATTGGAGGAGCACAATCGTGACCGTACGGAACGACGTTAGAGAGGAGGACTCCACCCGGTAACACACTTCACTCGCGATTACGCAGTCACTTTCCAAACACGTAGCCCGTCCGCGATTGCGAAATACGTGTGCGTGGACAACGAGGAGAGCCGCTCTCGGCTATTTCGCAGCAGCTGTAGCCGCCGCTCGCTCGAGATCGCGTCAGGCCATTATGGCCGCCTTCTGACGGCTTCCCCACCAACCGTTCCCTGCCCGTAACTCCCTTTTCCTCTTCTACCTGGCCTTCTCTCCTCGATCCTCCGGCCAGCTCGCGTTTCTTTCTTCCAACACCGCTCCCGATCTTGCCTACCTTTTTCAACCCCCCACCGTTCCTCTTCCTCCTCCCCCCCCTTCTTCTTTCTTCTGCTCGTTCAGGCCAGGTCCTCCTGTGGTATGCGGTGTACACCAGTGGCGTCTACGTCCTCCTGGTCGCCCCTCACCTCCACGTGTACCGATCCACCGCGGCGGACAGGTTACACACTCTTTCCACGCAACACAAGAAACGAGCAACGCTCACCGACACACCGAGCAATCGAACGGGCCCGCTGAGTGTGTCGCCGCGGTTGGAATCCAGAGGCGCGGCCGACAGCCTTCGTCAGCCACGCAGGCTGTCGTATCCGACGTTCCTAGGCGCCTCATCGGCGATCAACGTTCCAAACCATGTCCGCGAGCCTCCCGTCTTATTGCGTTCCGAAACGAGTTTATCCAGTTCGTTTGTCCGCTTATTTGCCAGTCTTTCGACGATCGCACTGTCCTTTAGCCGCGTAGATGGCGCTGTTGTCGCCTTCGCTCGACCGACTGCTTCCTATTTAACCAACTTTCTTCTCTGTATATATATATGTATACACGAGAGTCGACGAGGCTCGATTCCAGGTCGATTGAAGATCGAAGGGACGTTGTTTATCGCGAGCCAGAGTGACGTTTGATAATGGAACGCGCACGAATCGAGCGGGTAACGATGGAATAACAAGGTGTTCACGGATCTACGCTCCTCGTCGGACTGAGGACTGACGGAAGGCGTGAGACTCCGACCGACTGGGCCCCACTACGTCCCACCAGGCCCCCCCTCCTTTTCTCTTCCTCTCTTTCTCCTTCTCTTTCCGCGACTTTTCTGCTTCTGAGAGAGGCACTCCCTGGCCGAGCCGTACCTGCCTCGAGAACCCTTCGCCCGATGGGGTGTTTGGAACTGTGCCGAGGAAAATGAACATTCTTTCCAGCCGATTTTACCAAGGAACGCAGCCAGAGATACCTTCTCCCTCTTTTTCTCCCTCTCTGTCGGAAACGTGCACATTTCTTTCTCTCGTTACGAGTTTTTCTCTTCGAATCGGGTGATGCAACGGTGCGTTGTTTTCCTCTATCTGTTTGCACGATTAAATAGTTATCCATGACATAGATGCTGCAGAATTTCCGATTGGACAATGTTTGAAAATAATCGTGGTTAATACGAAGAAGATGCAAATCGCTGTTTTCGAATAATCACTTAAACCAGACGATATATCATTCTCGTGGTACAAAATGTTTTTAAATTGTAGAATTTAAATTAATTAAGATGTGATAAATTTCATAATCAGATTATAATCGACGAAAAAAAAAATCCTGCGTGTATTTTATTATATTTTATTATAGTTATTTTATTTAATGGAAGATTTGATAACAAAATTGCAATATTTGCAAATACAAATAAAACGAGGATTTACTTTGGTTAAATTATTCGTATAATTTGTAATATTTTCATTTATATTCATTTTAATCTACTCGAATCATTTTAATTCGATAATAATTTGAAAGACAATTTACCATTTACCATTTGACAAATTAAATTAGAAAAATGAAACTTATATTCATTATAATTTAACGATCAATGTCTACATTTATCCATATATTATAAATTATCTTTAGGGACACTTTTAGAATTTTAATCGATTAAATCTCCCAGAACATGCGAAAAGAAAGTAGTACGCGTTTATTGGCCTCCGTTCTCGTGTCGCAAAGAAAGTTTTCGTGATCGATGTTCTTCGAAATTGCAAAAAAAAAAAAAAAAAAAAAAGAAAAAAAAGATTAATAAAAATGATTTTGTAAAGTTATACGAATCTTCAATCGAATCGTTGTTCGAATCTCAGAATTATGAATGAATCGGAGGGAAAGGATTAATACAGATTATTTCTGGAATTCGCGAGTAGAGGATATCTCGTTCATAAATATTTAACAGTGCAATTTCTCATTGAAGAAATCTATCATCTATAGAAAGATTTAAGCATCGATGTACGAATAGATACTTTTCTTTCAAACTGTAACATATTGAGTCTTCGTAAATAACGAGGCTTTTCTCACTGTTGAATTTAAAACAATGGAATTTTATAAAAAGAGAATAGAAAATGTTGTACGAAGATGCCACATAATTATAAAAAAATAGGAGGAAATACATCGCAGATGATTATTATTTATTGAAAAAAATCATATAGAAAATAATTTGATATTTCCAGAGATAAGTATTATTTCGATTTTTAAGAAAAAATGCAGACGATTGGTTCCGAAATATTCTTTCGAAACGGAAAATAGATTCGAGAACGAAGGTAATTATTTCATGAATGGCCATTAAATGGCACCGAACACGATTCGTTTTTCATCTCGTAGGAATAATTCACGTGTTCCTTTTTCCAGGATTAACGGGCAAACGGTCCGATTCGTTCAGTTGCGCAATAAATATTCGCGATTTCGCCTTCGTGGCCACGCGACGTGCCACGAAGCGGAGCGGACATCCAGACGAGTCGACCTGGAGACCTCGAATCGGCCTCTGTCAAAAGAGAATCGTGCACGTTCGCCTCGTTCACGGTACCCGTGCAGTCTCTGACCTATAAAGGGCAGGTGTGCGTTGCCTTGCATGTATACGGGTAACCATGTATTTGTAACACATCATCGGATTACTCTTTCCTTATCTGTGACCCTTTTATTTCGAACTTCATTCGCTACGAAACGAATTAACTTTGAACAAAAATTGCCAATTTTCATTCCTGTTTTTTTAAATTTTAAAAAAATCTGATCCATCTGGAGTGGAATTTTCTTTTTAAATTTAAATATACAATAATTTTTGGAAATTATTAAGTACTCGAGTTTATTAATAAGAAACTTAGACGGACGGAATTAATCTCGATCCTTTTCCTCCGTGAAAAAGATATATTAATGGATAGTAAATGGATATTTTTCTTTAGATATTTGAAATTTTACATCGTAAAAACGAATTAGTAATTATTATTTGCTTGATATTCCGTTATTTTGCAAGATATAATTGAGCCAAAATATTACTCGTTTTTCATAATTTCTATAAAAAGTTTAAAATACAATGCTAAAACTTTTAATCAGCAAAGCATGTTGAACATTAAATAATATTTATTCCCAGCAAACCCCTTTTCTTTCTTCCAAAGAGGAAACAACGTGTAAATCTTCGTGTGATTCATTCTCTATAAATATTCAATCAAGTATCCTAATTGACTTCAAGTATTATATAGATAATATATAGATAAAAAACATCAATTAATTTATTATATACGAGAAAAATTCATTTTAAAAACTTCTCTTTTACTTCTAATAGGGAAAAGTAAAATTCAAAATAATTCTTTAATAATTGTCTTTTTTTTTTTTTTTTTTTTTTTTTTTTTCGTTGTAAAAAGTTTCGTTCCATAACTGGTTTTCTAGTACAAAATCTGACGAGTGGGCCATGGTCAGGGTCTTCGGTCACGCGATCCTGATTCCATGTTTTCTGGCTTCGTGACACAATGACGCGTTCCTCGTCGCTTCCTGCACTTGCGGCTAATTACATGGAAAATATCGTCCGGTTTTGTCGCTAGACCGCTTTTGATCCGAGGGGAAGACGTAGGAATATCAAGGGAAACGGCTCTTCCACACCGGAAATTCCAACCGGGATTGTTCATGGTCTGCGTATGACGCTGCGAACAGGATATTCGATAGCTTCTTTTTTTTTTCCTTCTCAAACGTGTCGGTAATAGATATCGAAACAATATTTTTCATTTCTGCCATTTAACATATAGAAAATAATATCTAATAAATAACGAGTAAGAATAACAATGCTAAAAATATTGAATAAAATCGATGAACTGTGTAGTGATTTGAAAGAAATTTTTGTAAATAATTTCTACTCAAGAATCTATCTTAGATATCTTAAGTTTTGCAAATATTTTCAAAATAAAGATCTTTGATCATCATCTATTTTAATGTGAAGAATGTGAACTTGGAATAGAAATTCATATCACGAAACTTTGCCAACTAGAATTAATACATACAATTATTTTCAATATCTATCTTCGTTATATATTGTACACATATTGTAAGTTTGTTAGAGATTAATACAATTACGAGAATCTATCTTTTATATAAGATTAAAAGAATTTATCTAAGATAAAAAACTTTTTTCTGATATAATTTTTTTTTTATAAAATATAATATTGAAATAAGCTTTTAGATTATGAATGCATTTGTTAAAAAACAAAAAAATTGATACTTTTACCAATTCTATGTAGTTTTTATAAACACAGAAATTTCAAGCATAAGTTTCACGATTTTGTTTCAGTTTGAAGGCAAAGACCAAACGAGCGCCAAAAATGTGCTAAACAGATCAACAATCTGGAAAATTAGTATGTAAATTGTGGGATCCAATCTTTGTATATTTATTTCAGAAGATGAAATCACCAGATCCTTTGGAGGATGATCTTTGGAACCAGTCGCGCCTTTTTTTCACCATGTTTCTTTTATTGGTGGATAAAATAATCATCTATTAAAGCTGTTTGAATGTTAATAATCCTAGATAATTTTATATCGCTTTCAATAAAAAACAATAAAAAAAAAATAAAGATATTCGGTGAATTATTATGATTAAGATTTGTTAATTTTTTTTCGAAATAAATATCCAGAATTCCAAGCGAGTTCTATTTGTAGAAGAAAATTAATTACTTACTTTATGGTGGATGAAAAGATTTTTGGCATTTAAAAAATATCGAAATGAATTGAGAAAACGGAGTAAGGATTGGGTTACATCTTGAGATTTCGAAGGTTCCTGAAATCAACGATCGAGTGGGTTAGTGGGTCGTTGTCACGTTAATTACGAGGAATTCAGAGGCTGCATGCAGTTCGAATAATCACCTCCTTGTAAAGAAATTCTTTTCTCTTTTACTCTCCCTCGTTATTTTATACAATATCAATATTAGAATATAACGTTTTTTCAAATTGTCAAACGGATCAGTTTCTGCAAAATAAATAACAATTGTTAGTCGAGAAAAATACATATTTATTGAAATTTTTAACACTTCGTAAATACTTAGAGATTTTTTTACTTGAAATAAAACTTACAATTTCAATTCAAATCAATTTTTCAATTCAATTAAATCGTCGTATTTATCTATTTGTCATTCTGAATTCAAGATTTTACATCAATAAAGAATTATTTTAAAATTAGAAATTTAATGATATCGAAAATTATAAACATAAGGCTCGAAGGAATCAAGAATCGATTTTTTTTCTCGATAATTCAAATAATGATAATCCAATAAATAATATCAGAACTTTTACCAAGAAATTCAAAGTTGTATTTCCAGTAAAGATACCGGTCACAAGATAGCTAAAGAAAAGTTTCAAGATACTTGGTAAACTTCTTTCTTTTTTTCGGGGTTAACGACATTAGGATACTTATTTTCCTCGAACGTTGCAACATTGTATCTTTCAACCATTCGTAACCTGAAAACATATCGAATTTCGCAAATATTTTCTGTTCCACGACTATCTAACTGTAATACCGTTAAAAAAATCACGATGCATAAATGATATTGCACTCTTTGCGAGGAGGAACGTTGACATCTTTTTGGAATTACCGTTCGAGCGAGATATCGGTTTGAACTGAAAATAAAAAACATTCTCGCGACTAAGAGAAATATCGGTCAACATGTATTAGTCGTTATGACATATAATTTCACAAGAGAAAATGTTCATTTATTGTTTCGAGTTTAATTAAAAATGTTTTTAAAAATATGAATTACTTTTTGTTAATGTAATTGTTTTTTGCGAACAAAATTCTGATGCTTTTTATTTTTGATATTGTTTCTTCATTTCTACCATGTATTAAATTTATATTGCTGGTATTATTGTAGTAGTATTAATCAATAATAGATATTGAATACATTTTTGTTT